TTGGCTAGTTGCAAGTTCATCATGTCCATCCACAAATTGACTCGTCTGAATGTAATATCAAATGCCATTTCTATCTCTTCGAGGTGCTTTGCGACGATCACGACAGCTACGTCATCCGCATATGCTACAAGTTTGACTCCCGTAGGCAATGCTATTCTCAGGAGGCCATTATACATGATGTTCCATAGCAAAGGACCTAAGACTGATCCCTGTGGCACTCCTCCTATGTGTGTGTGTGTGTTTTTTTTTGGGGGGGGGGGAATCCTTTTTACGGATTCTAGGCATAGTTGTTGGCCTGGATATGTGGCGACTTGACGCAGCGTCACACTATAACTCGACGTTGACGCCCCTACCCACTAAACCCTAAACCCCTTTCTCTTCTATCCTCTGATCCCCCATGGTACCGCCGTAAGGCATTTCTTCGCGGGGGGAGGAATTAGCTGCCGCTCTTCCTTCTGGTGGCTAAGATGTTATTTCTTCCTTCTAGTTTCTGTCATTCGCTTTTTTTCTTTCAATGGAACGCAGCTCTGTAAGGACTTCTGTGGCAAAAGTGCTTGTAGCGTTCCAAGCAGTTTGACTCGATAACATTGTCTCTACTATTGTCTCTGGTTGGATTCTCCGGTTCAGGATCCTTTCCAACTCATTTCGCTGAGGATCAAAACGTGGACACGCAAAGAAAACGTGCTCTGAGTCCTCAATAACTCCTGGACAAGACGGGCACTCCGGAGAATCGTCAAGCTTAAAGCGGTGCAGGTATTCTCGAAAGCACCCATGTCCAGACAACATCTGCGTTAGATAATAGTTGACTTCACCATGATTTCGGTTCAGCCAAACATCGATCTTTGGTATGAGGCGGTATGTCCATCTTCCTTTTGCTGCGACGTCCCACTAAAGTTGCCATCGCGAGATGCTGTGCTGCCGGTCTTCTGTTCTTCGGGGCTCAGTGCAGTTGATCTTTTTTGTTGGTAAAGGGCCCGTCTTTCCTCTGCTAGTACTCTAAGCGGCAGGGTTCCAGATTAAGAGATTATCCAAGTGTCATCGAAGGACAGCGAGCGTTCTCTCATCCGCTCGGGGAGACGCGCCTGGTAGCAGTATCTCTTCTGCCCCGGGTGTGTGTGTGTGTGTGT